GAAAAGAGAGGAATTGCTTTGGGGGTCTTGACCCAAAGGCTAGGACCAGTGGCATACTTTTCAAAGAGATTAGATGGGGTGGCTGCTGCATGACAGCCACCCTACCTGAGAGCAATAGCAGCTACAACTGCACTAACAGAAGAAGCTAGAAAGAGAACTTTGGGACAGAGGTCTGACTCCCCATCTGGTCAGAGCTATTCTGGACACAAAATTACTTGTGGTTAGCAGTAAGAATGGCTTACCAATATCACCAATGCTCTTAAATACCCCTGAGGTTATTACAAAAAGTTGTGCTATTATCAACCCTGCTTCTTTGATGCCTACAAGGCCCAAAGGTTAGCCACTCTTGTGAACAAGTTATCTCTGAGACCTGTGCAAGCAGCCCAGGACATCAGCGTCCTGCCCCTGCCACAGCCTGAGGAGGTGTGGTTCACTGATGGAAGTAGCTTTGTGCGTTGAGGACATCAAAAGGCAGGTCACGGAGTTCTCAGCTCGCAACACGTCACTGAAGCTACACCTCTTCCCCCAGGAAGTTCTGCTCAAAGGCAGAGCTAGTAGCTCTTACTCAGGCATTGAAATTAGGAACGGCCAGTCTATACAGGCTCCAGATATGCCTTTCTAGTGCTACATGCCCGTGCATCAACCTGGAGGGAAAGAGGTGAACTGACAAACAGTCATCTATAAAACACATACAGGAAATTCTACAACTCCTGGAGGCAGTCCACCTTCCCAGACAGGTCACAGTCATGCATTGTGAAGGACACCAGAGGGACATGTCTGAAATCTCCCTGGGAAACCAAAAGCTTGGTAGGGAGGCACAAAGGGCAGCCCTACAGCACCTTATGACTCCAGCCTTATTTTAGTTCCCGAGGAGCCATTGTCTAGACCCCAAAGAGGATAAATGGGCTTTAGGACAAGAAGGAATTAAAAAGAGACCAGGTGGTATTTAGGAACAAATTTGTGCCAGATGTGGTAGCCTGTAATCCCAGTTCTGTAATCCCACTCTAATCTTAGTATCCAGTAAGCTGAGACAGGAGAATTCCCTTGAGTTTGAGGCCAGTTTGGGCTATATAGTGAGTTCAAGGCCAGTCTGAACTACATAATGAGACCCTGCCTCAAAAGAAACAACGGCTGGGAATATAGCCCAGTGGCATAAGCACCTGCCTGGCAAGCGCAAGGTCCTGTGTTTGATTAAAGGTACCAAAAAAAAAAAAAAA